CTGAATAGCTATTATAACATGTCTTCGTTATCAAGCTTTTTGAATTTTTCCTATACTTGTATTTTGATTGGTCATTCTAGCTTTTGTAACAACGTTTTCTCTTTGCGAAGGATCGTTAATTAATTTGAAACTTTTAAAACCATTTATTTTACATTCAACATCATCACTTGATAAGACACCGTGGGTGTTGAAACAAAATGGCTATTTTTGTAGCGATTTTATAACATATTTATGTTATAATTTTTAAATAAATAATATATATATATATATATATATATATATATATATATATATATATACATATATATCTTTATTTTATATATATATATATATATATATATATACTCGACTCTTCCGTCGACGTATGAGGGTCAAGCAGATCAGTTCCCAGGAAACCGACAGCTCGATAACGGCACAAGAGATTTGATTATAGTGGTGAAGGTTTCGTGCAGGACCATCCACACTTTTTGAAGGGCCGAATACAGAGACCTGGTGCACTAAGTGCCACAAGGTCCCCAAACGACCCTCCGCAGGTTTTGAATTCAGAGTTGTCCTTCTCCTAGACCAGTTGCTATCCAAGGCTATAGAACCCAGTCTGTTCTGCTATTTACCCATAGGTGGAGGGAGAAGAAGAGGATTCACACCTTTCCCAAGGGTATTAGCACGTAAGTGAATGTAATGGATTCGACTGGAATTCGAACTCGGCTCTGCGATTCCTCAATCCAAGTTCCAAGCCGCTATCCATTACTCCACCGTGCCTATATATGGTGTGTAAGGTTATTTACCTTATCACCCCGCGTGGCAGGATGTAGTACAAGGCCTTTTTTTTAATGCCGGGCAAAACCAAAACCCGTAGCCCCGGGCAAAAATTCCCCGTACACGGGATCGGGTAGCTATCTACTACCCCAGACGAGACTCTGCCCTTCGTCTGGGTTCCTCTCCGCCCGAAGGCAGAGAGTTCGACTAGCACAGTTGGAGACGACTCTCTAACTAATCGCCGAAGCAAGCAGTAAAAATATATTTTACGACAATATCATGTTAAAACATCGGTACTCAGTCGATCAACGCTGTTAAGTCACTTCGACCTGTTCGTCCCAAGGTTGTTGACAAAATCCAAAGAAGGATCTGTAATGCAATCAATCCTGAATTGACTTCTCGAGTTCAGATATTTTCTCACAGACGTGATGTGGCTTCCCTCTGTATTTTTCTTGAAATATCTTCATGATTTCTGCTCTGACGTGATTTAATCCGTAGTGCCGCAACTACATGGATTTAAGCGTGCTACTAGATTGGCATTTAGGTCCCACCCATTTACTGTTAACATAGTTAAATGTAACCGCCATTTCTACTCCAACAGTATATTTCCTCGCACTTCCCGACTGTGAAACTCATTTCCTCTTACTTGCTTCCCTGATAATTACAATCTTCAAAAAAAAAAAAATGTAACGTCGATCGCCATCTGCTGTCGTGATCCCTGTCTTTTTTTTTCTTTCGTCAGTCCCAACTATAAGCACTCTTTCACTCTCCGTAAGCCCCTGCGTTCGAGTGGCATCCTGATTTGCTTGGGGTAAAAAAAAAAAAGAATAAAAAAACCTACGCATTCGCCGATGCCAGTTTGCCGGTAATTTTTACCTTGCCCGCACATCTCTTTAGTGAGACTCGGTAAATAAAAAAAAAAGACCAAATATGGCGCTGTTACGTGATTCCTATCGACTCCCTCCCCAATTGTAATAGTGTGACAACGGATACTAAATAATCGTAAATTTATTTTAGTACTATGGACATGAGTAAGTCATTAAGCATTATCAAATTCTCCGGCGAACTGGATATCTTTGTGTTCAGAAAAAAAAAAAAATCCAATTATCTACGGAGTCATTTAACAGACTCTCGTTAATAGGTAAAATCCTGTGTATAATCATTCATCCACCACATCCAAATGTTTCCTGATATTATCTATTTTATTTAAGAGTTCATCTAAAAGCACCTGCGTACATAATTACATATATCTTACACATCATATATATATATATATATATATATATATATATATATATATATATATATATATATATAGCAGTTCAAGAAAGACATTTGGATTACAAAAATAGAATGGTTAGACATCACAAAACATAAGGGAAATTTTTCTATTAATAATATGTGTAAATATCCACTCTTTGCAGGAAGAAGCTTACGAGACCGGAAACACGTAGCAAAATTATGGAAAATAATATATATATATATATATATATATATATATATATATATATATATATATATATATAACAATCCGCATGATAACCAAAAACGTTTGCGGTTTTCTCTTCTTTTTAAAATATACACTTTTCTCTCGTTGGAATAACTCTAACCTCTTCCCTATATATATATATATATATATATATATATATATATATACATATATATATATGTCCTATTTTAGGATATTACATTTAAAACATGTCAAAATCGCTACACAATTGCAGTCGTGTTTAGATGCGTATCATCTCATCAGGCGATTGTAAATTACTGACGAGTGAACGATATATTCAGATTTAAACGCAAAATACAGCCTCTTTTTAGAACAGAAAAAACAAAAACAAAAAAGATAAGAAAAAGGAGGGTTATAAGTTTTGTGGGCTTTGCTCAGATCAAAAATGACCTACATTAAATTTAACTAAGGGAAGATGCAGAAATTAAGAAATTATTTTTCAAAAATCGATCATGACTCGTACATTTGAAATGAAGGGCAGCTACTGACGTTAAACAGGAGCGGATGTAAACGGATATGTTCTCATTTTACCTATATATATATATATATATATGAAATAAGAACGAATCGAATATAAATTCAAACCTTTATAACATTAATTTAAAATAGGGCTCAATATAATCCAATAATAGAACAATATTCTTTATTATAGGATATTAAATTCAAACATGTATAAAACCACTACATAAATGCACTCATGTTTCGATGTGTAGCATATCTCATCAGGCGTTAGTAAAATATGTAATATCCTATAATAAAGTGTGTGTATGTGTATATATATATATATATATATATATTATTGAAATTAAAATAACTGATCCAAATGCAACTTTTGGATAAGTGCGTCATTACTGTAATTATTGAACAATAAAGTTCATGCCACTTTGACAGAAAATTTACCAGTAAAAAAGAATTCACTTATCACCATATTTGTACAAGAACGCACAATTGTAAAATTTAAATTCAAACTCAGCGTTGCGACAGCACGCTCCAAAAACAATAACTCATTTCTAATAGCATTTTTTCGGATTACAACAGTACATATATTTTCGTTGTCCTCTTATTACTGAGAAAAAACAAGAACAAAAATCTATTCCATACCTGAGGATGTCTGTAGGAACAGACGAAAGCTTATAAAAATAATAAGAACTCATGCAACAGAAATTTATAGAAACAAGGATCTTTTCATTCATAAACAGGTTCGGGGTTTTTTGTATATTATTTGAACCATTCGCGACGATGGATTTCTTGCCAATTAAATAATTAACCTTTGTATTTGTTTTTTTTTTTTGTATGAATAATTATGAATATATATATATATATATATATATATATATATATAGGTAATGAAAAGTTTGGTAACCCGTATGGATAATCCCAAGCAGGATGTAATCCAGAAAGTTCAATGTCAAACTAGAGCAAATATTAATTTAATTTAATTAGAAAACAGACAACCTTAAGGGTTCATTGATTATATTGTATTTCCCCAGGAAAGTGATTTTTTTCCTGTTTCCTCACGTCACATTTCCAAACATAAAAATGATTTCTGAAACAGTTAATTCCCGGGTTCGATTCTTGGTAGTGGATGCGCATTGCTGTTGAGTCTCAAATAGGAGGAAACGGCCGTTCAGTGATTTCTGCATTCTGTTGAGGATTCTTCTAGACTCGATGAATTACTATAAATGATTATTCAAACGCCCCCCCCCGCTCTATTAATTATGTCCTGGTAGACGCCTTGTTAATGAGAATGGGTTTGTGTTAGCGATTGGTCTGACATTGAAAATAAATTTTAAACAGTGCTCCGTGACAGACACTTAGGGGCTGATGATAGCCGCGCACAGAAAGGCTTGAAATAGACTTTCTCTACGTTGAGGTAATTTTTGTCTTTGCTGTAATATATATATATATATATATATATATATATATATATATATATATATATATATATATATATATATATATATATATATATGTATATATATATATAACAGCAAATTAATGGATTTTATTTTGTAATCTCTCATAATTTATTACTTAATCGTTATCTTTAGTGGATAACCGTATTTAAGTAGACGTTCCGTTTATTTTAAACAGTTATTTTAAACAGTATTTTATTTCGTTTATGGGCGTGCTGGTTCGAGACAAAGAAAATATCCGCTCCACACATACGTTGCAGGAGAAACCGCCGTCTAATCCCTTGTCCTTTAACCGCTCCGGCACGAAGGACTTGAAAATCTAGCAAGAGACTATTTAGAGCACAAGTGCCTCCTTCAGATTTCGTCGAAAGTCATAATCGCTGAGTTCCATACCCGAAAGGTAAACAAAGCAACTTTTAAAGAAGTCAGGGATTTTTATTTTTTAATCCGTCATTATTTGATTAGTTAGAAAATAGGGAATCTGAATGTGTAAAATGTGCTTTCTAGGTATATAGAACGTTGCTTGATTGTGAAGCTCTTCGTAGCCGAGTAGTCAAAGCACAACGGATCAAACGATGGTTTCTCCTGAAAGAGGAGGACGCATCTTACCGGATGGCACATTTTTCTTTAATAAGGTTTATTGAATGTGCAGGTCGGCAGACGAAATGAAATACTGCTTAAAATAAACGGAACATCTACTCAAGTACCGGTATTCACTAAAAATACGATTTAAGTAACAAAAAAACAAATGCATACATATATATTGTCCATATTTATTTATTGTATATGGAACAATCAGAATAGAATTAGATACAAACAAGATAAAATAGATAGATAGATAGATAGATAGATAGATAGATAGATAGATAGATATGAACAGACTGATATAGATATGAACAGCCCGATAGCTAACTAGTTAGATAGATATGAACAGACTGAGATAGATAAATAAATAGATAGACAGACGGAGAGAGATATAGAGAGATAGATAGATAGCTATTAACAGACTAATAGCTAGCTAGATAGATGGATAGATATCAACGGACTGAGACAGACAGACAGACAGATAGATAGATAGATAGATAGATAGATAGATAGATAGATAGATATGAACAAACTGATAGATACATATATAGATAGATATGAAGGGATAGATAGATAAATAGATAGATAGATAGATATGAACTGACTGAGATGCATACATAGATAGATAGATAGATAGATAGATAGATAGATAGATAGATAGATATTAACAGACTAATAGCTAGCTAGCTAGCTAGCTAGCTAGCTAGATAGATAGATAGATAGATGGATAGATATCAGTGGACTGAGACAGACAGACAGATAGATAGATAGATAGATAGATCGATCGATAGATAGATAGATAGATAGATAGATAGATAGATAGATATGAACGGATAGATAGATATGGACAAACTGATAGATACATATATAGATAGATATGAACGGATAGATAGATATATAGATAGAGAAATATGAACAGACTGAGATACATAAATAAATAGATAGATAGATAGATATGAGCAGACTAATAGCTAGCTAGCTAGCTAGATAGATGGATAGATACCAACGGACTGAGACAGACAGATAGAGATAGATAGATAGATAGATAGATAGATAGATAGATAGATAGATAGATATGAACAAACTGATAGATACATATATAGATGGATATGAACGGATAGATAGATAGATAGATAGATAGATAGATAGATAGATAGATAGATAGATAGATATGAACAAACTGATAGATACATATATAGATGGATATGAACGGATAGATAGATAGATAGATAGATATGAACAGATTGATAAGTATGGGAAAAGGCATGTATTGAATTTGACCCCTAACTTTCGGTCAGTAAGAGACCGTAATCGGGTTCTTGGTGTTTGTTGACCGGAAGCAATATAAGGTATAAGCCCCGAAAGGTAACACCCTCCTCTCATCCCCAGTTTACCTGTATCACTTGAGTTACAAAAAAAAAAAGTGACTTCAATATTGCTACTGAATGTAGATGCTTTTCGATTAACACCTAAGTATATAAACGCACACCATAACGGACACCTGCGGGGTCGATTGGCGTATATTCACCCCAGACACTTCAACCCGTCACTCTCTCTCTCTCTCCCCTCACTCACTCACTCACTCACTCACACACACACGTACACACACGGAGAAAATACTTGGTGTCTATAAAGTGTCCGGAGATTTCTAATTGATTTGTTATAAAATTTTCTCAATGATTTTATATTTACACGCACTCTCACTATTGATGTCCCTTCTTTCTTTCTTTCTTTCTTTCTTTCTTTCATTGGCTTTAATTTATATACCTAAAATTTCGTCAATGATTTTGTCATCACACACCCATGCAAATATATATATATATATATATATATATATATATATATATATATATAATAAATAAATAAAAAAAAAAGAACAGTAAAATTTTTTACCGTTAACAATAATTTAAAAAAAAATCCAGACGACATGCATTGAACGGATGTCAGTTTTCATTGTAAAATACATCCCTACTCCTTACCAAATTGTAGCTAATAACTGATACAATGATACTGACATAAGGAATACCTAGAAATCTCTTGTCCAATTGAAGTAGAATATTCTGTAAACATGGGAACGTGATTTTAGCTGTGTCTTTAAAACCCAGTAATTTTTTAAAAGTTACTCCAAAATTCGCTTGAGGATGAAATGGAACTAATGCTTTTAATTTAATTGCAAAATTAAATTCAGGGCTTTTAGCTTCTATTTTTGAAACATGGTTAGAACTGTGTAGCGGAAAAAACATATTTTAAATCAATTACTTTTATAATATATATATATATATATATATATATATATATATATATATATATAAAATTAATATAAAGTTAAAACTTGTAACTTAGCTGATCGATAGTCTCGTTGCATTTGTACGTAACATAAGCTGTCTAGGGAAATTAAAATCCAGCCAAAATTTAAATAGATTTTCCTTAAGCTTAACAATTCACAATATCAATATTGTCTGCGTTTATAAATTAAGTAAAAATCTTTAAAAGTTTATTCCTATCATCGACTTTAACTTTAATTTTTATAATTACATTTATAAATTTAGTTTCAGTCTTGAAACAAGGAAATTTGGAATTCATATTTTTGTTTTTATCCAGCACTGTTTTTTTTTTTAAATAAAATAACTGCTAAGATCACCAGATTATAAATCTTCCTGTTCTTTCTTATTATTTTTTTATTATTTATATATATATATATATATATATATATATATATATATATATATATATATATATATATAAAAGGCCCAAACACTAATATTCCAGGGTTATAATTTATTACATTGAAATCGTAATCACCATCCAATTCTTCAAACCTATGTTAACTGTTTTATTTTTGAATCTGTAGGTGTGATGAATTGGATTTCGATTCCAATATATATATATATATATATTTATATATATATATATATATATATATATATATATATATATATATATTGACCACTAATATTATCAATAATTTTAGTTATGTCGGAAATTTTCACATACACACTCTCTCACACACAATGAAAGAAGAAAAAACAATGAAAAGTGTAAAAATTATTTTTTAACTCAATATCAATATAATGAAAAACGAGAAAACAAACAGTCAATTACTGGTATCTCCCGAAGAGTCGACAGATTCATTGCTGGATCGTTTATCTACAAAATTATAGTTAAAATGCTGAAAATAACATCAACTAAGTAATAATTTTTATATTTGTATTAATCATATATATATATATATATATATATATATATATATATATATATATAACTCTCAGAGTTATAGTTTCTGTTTTCTTCTTGAATTTATATATATATATATATATATATATATATATATATATATATAGATAGATAGATAGATAGATACACCTAGTGAGCCAGACAAACCTACCTACGTTTCACCTAAACGGATCGTCAGGGAAAGTTTTTGGCCAAACATTCCCCTGACGATCGTTTAGGTGAAACCTAAATGTAGGTTTGTCTAGGGTGTATCTAGGTCTGCTCTACGGTTGTATTGAGCTCTTTTGTTAGTTAGTTGTTACTCGTATCGGGTTTTTTTCTTTGGGCTTCAGACCTGCATCTGTGCGATTTTTTTTTTGTGTCAGAAGTTCATGTTTGTAGCTCTTTCTTTTTTAAAACCTTTTTTTCCCTCGAGATTGATTTGATTAGCAAATCAAAAAAATTCGAGGTTTTTCGAAAAAAGTCTAGTTTATATATATATATATATATATATATATATATATATATATATATATATATAAAATTAGTGGTATATATATATATATATATATATATATATATATATATATATATATATATATATATATATATATATATATTCCCAAAGGGAGAGAATCCAGGTAGAGCTCAATGTCCAGCACAGAGTAAGAATATAATATAATGGGCTCAAACACTAATATTTCATAGATATAATTTATTACATTGTGGAATCGTAATTATGATCAAATTCATCAGACCTACAAATTCAAAAAAGAATTTCAAAAAAAAAAAAAAGAATTTTGGGGGAATTTGTAGGTCTGATGAATTGGACCGTGATTACGATTCCAATGTAATAAATTATAACCATGGAATATTAGTGTTTTCTATTCAAGCCTTATATATATATATATATATATATATATATATATATATATATATATATATATATATTGAGAGTGAGAGTAATATTTTGTGTTTTCTTTTTGAATTTCTAGGTCTGATGAATTGGATCGTGATTACGTTTCCAACGTAATAAATTATAACCCTGGAATATTAATGTTTGAGCCTTTTATATATTATATTCTTGCTTTTCCTTGTACATTTAGGTCTACCTGGATTATATCCTCTCTCTATATATATATCTGTGTGTGTGTGTGAGTGTGCATATAATAGGTTACAGAATCCCGCCAAAGTTTTTAGAAAATTTGACAAATGTGAAAATGTTTTCTTGAAACCAGATTTGGTTGCGTTTTGACAATCTACGCTTCATCAGACCCAAAAAACGAAAGACAGAAATTTGTATGTGTGCATTTGTGTGTATGATTAAAGGGGTGTGTATTTGTTGGCGAAGGACGTATTAATGATTTATTATTTAAGCATACGCAGTACAAATACACGGACTCATATATTTCTTTCTGAAGCCTAAAAATACGAAACGCGTAATCAAATCCAGTTTCAAAGAACGGTTTTCCATTTGTCAAATTTCATGTATGTATATATATATATATATATATATATATATATATATATATATATATATATATATATAGGATATGATCTGCTTGACCCTCATACGTCGAATTCGACGGGAGAGTCGAGTATATATATATATATATATATATATTATAAATTAATTGATTTAAAATATTTTTTCTTCCGCTACACAGTTCTAATCATGTTTCATAAATGGAAGCTAAAAGCCACGAATTTAATTTTGCAATTAAATTAAAGACATTAGTTCCATTTCATCCTCAAGCGTAATTTTGGAAAAATAAAAATACCTATCAGAACACCGGATTATATATCTTACTGTTCTTTATTTATATATATATATATATATATATATATATATATATATATATATATATATATATATATATATATATATATATATATATATATACACTATAAATGTATATACACTTTAAAAAAGGTATTCCACAAAATAGACTTTCTACAGCGATCTTAAAAATATCAAACAATCTCTTATTAATAATAACTTTTCTAATTACGTTGTTGATGAACAAATACGATGTTCTTTATAAAGCCAATGGAATATAATAATTTTTCAAATAATCTATCTATCTATCTATCTATCTATCTATATATATATATATATATATATATATATATATTGGATGCTATTATTAAAGTCATGGATAATGTTATTAAACAATCATTATTAAACAATCATTGCTATTAAGATAAATAGTTTCAAAAACATTTAAATGGATTCAAATTTAGAAAATTATAAGAGCAAAGGATTTTGAAATAAATATTGATTCCTGCAATTTTATATCGTTTCGTAAAACATATCACGATTTGAAATACAAATGAATCAGCTGTTTCTCTCTTCTTCCATTCCTTCTCTCTTCACACACACACACAGATTTATATATAAAGACATTTTTATGTTTATAAATTCTTTTTATAGATACAAATATTTAAGTCAATGCTCTGTTTATAATAAACAACATTTACCGGCCTGAATGTCTGAGAAATTTTCGTAAAAAATTTTCATCCTCCGACAGGAATCGAACCAGTATCCTATACGGAACAATCATATAGCCTAACGTGCCTTTAACTGATTGAGCCACAGAGGATCGTTCGGTTAGCAATGTCGATTTTACTGTTTTTAAACTACAATCTTCCATTATTGTACATTCATATCTGCTCATTCTTATAAACAGAGCATTTACTTAAATATTTCTTTCTATAAAAAGAATGTATAAACATAAAATGTCTTAAAATAATTGTCGGACTTTGTCCATTTCATAATATATATATATATATATATATATATATATATATATATATATATATATATACATTAACAGTGAAAAATATGGATGAAATATATCAGCTCCAAAAGCAACTCCAAAATAATTCTCTCCTTAAATTTACATACGAATTTCATAATAGAAATGCAATTCCTTTTCTAGAAAGATTGATAAACACGAATAATGATATCTCTCCATATAAAAGAACTACTAACCTAAATCCCTCCTCGATAAAAGTGAATGTCCAAATTACTATGAAAAAATCAATTCTAAAAACTTAATAAACCCTTCACAAATTAATTCATCCATAATATATATATTATATATTTAAGCACAGTCGTAGATTGACGGAAAGGTCTCATCATTTTGCAGTTGAAAGGACTAGATGTA